TAATTATCCACACGGGCAGGAATTGTTTCTCTTAAGCAGTTCCTGATACATTCAAACAGTTAATGAAATCCCATCTGTATAGGGGCTTCCAAGGGGGAGTGTAGGCTGAATTAATTAGTTTCAAATGTGAAGCTTTTTTTTTTTTTTCAAAGAAGGAGAAAACCCAGTCTAAACAAATGTCATTTGCAATGTCCTGAAAAGACGCTACTATAAAGTGGGGTGGGAAGGGAAAAAGGGGATACCTTTAAACAAACTCTACTTTCTTTAAAAAGAAACACAGTGGTAGACCTTCTCATATGTAATTAAAATCTCATTCTAAAATTCCTGCCGCTATCTCCCCCAAAACTCAGCTAATAGGAAATCTCAATGAATAGTGGTATCTCAGTTGAGATGCCTTGAGTATATTTCTAGGTAGATAACACATTGAGTAGGAGCATTACTTACGAAAGATAAACAATTTATGATTCATCCCAGGTTTTAAAGGCTGGGTGGGGTGGGGGTTAAGACCAAGAAAACTAGGTTTACAATACAGAAATTATACACATTGTCAAGTGTTTATATTTATCATGAGACCTAGCATGGGAACCCAGACTGTACAAAGTGTACCTTAATTTCAAAAAGTGATGTCACTGGGGCTGTTAAAATGGCCTGGTGCTTGCTGCCAAACTTGAAGACTTGAATTCAGACACAACCCCCTGCACTCACACTCACACCACACACACACACATACACACACACACACACACACACACACACACACACACAGTAATATTAATTTTTTAAAAAGAAAACTACCTCATTCCTTTCAAGACAGACTCCAGTCATCCCTCCCTCATTTAAAATAACCTGCCTGAGACAGGAAAGGGGTGCCCACCTGACAGCCCTCTTTCTCAGAAGGGTTCTGTTGCCACTGTGACAGCGCAGTCCTGGGATGGGCACACCTTTCCTTCCTCCTCTAGAGCTGTGTCTCCTGACGCCCTGACACTAGCAGGTTGGGTACCAAAGCATACCCCTAAGGCTTCCTTACATGTGTGAACATCATAGAACAAAGGAGACCACAGGCCGCCCTGGGCGCTACTGAAGGTGAACGGGAGCTGGTGGGCAGTGGTCCTTTGGTTAATGTTTCTGAGCTCTGCCTCTGAGTCCTCTGAAAAACTACGCCTTAGCAACTCTACCTGGGACAACCTTCTGCAGACTCTGGGCTCTGGGCGCTTGAAGGTTGGGCAACCCCTGCAGAAAGTGACCACCATGCACATCTGGAAAAAGGTGACAGCCATGCATGCTGTTAGAGCTAATGAGCCCAACAGGGACACCTGGGGATGGAAAAAATTAATTACAAGTCTATGCCAGCAAACTACCTGTTAGTGTCTACCTGTGAGCATCTAAGACTAAATGGCGCCTAATTTCTGTTCTTTCCCTTTCATCACACAAGCGGGCCCTGGGAAATTTCTGATGCCTTCTTTTCTTACAGCCCGCGCCCCCCCCTCTGCCCCCCTTCCCCAGTCCTTAATGGAGATCTTGAACCACAGAGCCACCGTGTCAGAACTCAGACGGTTAACATTCACTCCTTGCTGTTTTATTGCATATTACTGTGCGCGCCTGAGCAGCGGGAGCAGATTCGGGCAATTACAATCAAGTCAGGGCACACGCCGCGGCAGAGCAACACGAGCATGATGAGGATACTGATGAGGTACTTATCGAAAACCCCACATCATCCACACTCATCAGCCACAACATGTCACCCCAAATGAGGCATCAGCTGCCTTCAAAAGGCTCATTGCACCGTGTTTACCGCTTCCCTCGGACCCACTTTTGATTTTACGGTCAGAACTGGGTTCAAACAGCAGCTGTCTGGCAGGAGCGGGCCTGGGCTCCTCGCTGCTGCGTCCCCCGGAGTCGCCAGGCTTTGTCTCGGGAGAGCTTTGGGAAACGAGGGGCTGGCAGGGCCAAGAGATGTGCGCGCGCGGGAAGGCAGCAAAGTGTCCGGTTCCGTTTCTCTCAAAGAGGAATCCCTTTCCTAGAAGGGGCCCTTGATTAATTTCAAGCACTAGCACACAGTGGTGGCCTAATGTGGGTGGGGGAGGGACACGAAATAAGGAGCCTTTCACAGATCCCCTTAAAATAGTGACGGGGTGGGACCTCTCACGCAGGCAGAAGTCCTAGAAAGGTCAATCCCATTGGAAAAGACAGATCCAACCAGGAGAGCCAGTCAAGTGGTAACAGTTCTTAATTCTTTCATCATCGACTCATTCTCGGCTGGTTGGGGGGAGCATTCATTAGCAGCTTATAGGAAGACGCTAGTCTCAAATCCCTGGTTCCCTACTATAGGCGGAAGAAGATGTACTCCGAGCAGTCCCAGAAACTCTTCCTATGTTGCTCAGGCCAATGCAACTGGCGGTTAAACAGATGGGGTGGAGGGTGGGGGTGGGGGGTCGGGGGTATCTGACTGTATACATTGCAAAGAGAATAGGAAAGTTATATTCCTTTCCTACTAGGAGAGGCATACAACTCTGATACTTTCCTTGCATGTAATTTTTTTTATGGTTGGCGAATTGATGTTTATTTTAAGAAAAATGTTCTTTCGTAAATATTCATCCTATGCCAAAATATTTTTCTTCTCACATCCAGGCAAGTTGCCTCAATACCAATAAAAGGCACACAGACTCACATTTTAAGGTTTGGAGAGCCATTTCAGCTCCTCACCCCTGGTTCTCTACTGAATCCCTCACAGCTTCCTAGAACAGTGCCTGAGTCACGGCGGGCGGCAGTGGAATGTGCCAGCAAGCGGAAGAAGGGTGGGCTTCCCTTGCCTCTCTCCCACCCGACCTACACTGGAAACAGACCTGCAGGGCGAGGTTCCTCAGCAGGGTGGGGAGATCAGCAGCTGTGGGAGTCAGTGCCACCTGGAGAGCCACCAAGTAGAGCTTTGTATGGCCACAAAGGTCCAGGGTCCTGGGACTTAGAAACAAGCCTTGTCACTGGCCTTAGGAGTTCCCCTGGGTGCTGGGTGTCATGAATTATCCCATCATTTGGATTACAACTATTGCTACTCACTCCTCCTTCCGCATCCCTCCCCATCCCTCTCCACCCCCTCTCTCCCCATCCCCTTCCCTCACCCTCTCCCCCCCCCCCCCCCCCCCCCTCCCCCACCATCCCCCTGTCTCCCTACAGCATTAGGCTTTTACTGGCATTTTAACATCTTTACAAAAAGGGAAGGTACTACATGAGTAAGACCTTAGGCTTGAAGACCTTTTTTTTTTTTTTTTTGAAGGAACTTACTTTTATAGGAAGTTATTTTACCCAGTCTTAGAAGTTACCAGAGACTTGGGGCAGGCCTCCCTGACACCTGCAGTGTGCCTCATTCTGCCCCAGAGGCTCTGCTGGTCTTCTTTCCATGCTTCCCTTTCTCTTCTAAACTTTCTAAACTCTCCCCTCAGGCCTCTGGCCTGACAAGACTCTAGTTTGGCCCCTTCTACCTAAGCCCATCTAATTCCTGGGAGATCTCTCCAAAGCCCACAGGTTTGCATTGCACATTCGGATTCAAGAGAAATCCCCACGGCATGGTCTAGAATGGAAAGCACAAGCCTCTGAGTGGCACTCAGCTTTGCCGTCACAGAGCACGAGGCAAAGGGGACAAACGTGTGCCTCCATTTGCTCTCCTTATTTTGGATTCCTTAGGGCTGGAAGCCCTAAGACCCAGAATACATTAGGTTGACAATCAGTGAGTAATACAAGGGAGAGGAGATGGGTGGGCACCACAGGAAAGCTAAAGAACTTCGGAGCGTTAGATTAAAAATGACCTCGAGTCTCAGGTTCATGCATTCCTATCAAATTTTGATTTATTTCATGAAGCAATATCTCATCCACATTTTGCGTCATATTCTTTCTTCTTGGGGTTCATGAAGTAGATGTTTGTTCACATATGGAGACAAAATGAATAGAGATCAACAGTAAATTATGAAAAGGAGTTGGAAAGTAGCCAGATGTGTTTATATGGACGATAGCAACCTTAAAATTATCGGCAACACCTGCCCACATCATTAGTTCTGGGAGGTCACAAACATTGCTCAGAATTCTTTAGGAAATTTTAACATAATTTTTTAACAAATTTTCACATGGTGTGGATTTTAAATTTTTGTATGAGTTGGATACCTTCAGCATATTGCTACTGATGGAAAGTGGACAGGAGAAAGTTAGTTAAATTAAAAATTAGGATAACAAATTCTAGGCAATTATCCAAATTAAATGGAAAAGAATTAGAAGAATTAGACCTCATGGGCCAGATGATTAGTCACCTAATTTGAGTGTTAGAAATCTAGAAAGAAAGAAAGAAAGAAAAAAATCACACAAGATCCTTGCGCTAGGTACTTCAAAGAAGATCCATACAAGAAAGAGACCGTTTGCATGTGTGCACATGCATGCAGCATGTGGAGAGAGAGGAGAGAGAGAGAGAGAGAGAGAGAGAGAGAGAGAGAGAGAGAGAGAGAGAGAGAGAGAGAGAGAGAGAGAGAATGTGTTTTGTATCTCTTTGTGGGTCATCATCTAACGCCCTTTGTGATGCACATTCTAAATTAGGCAAAAGGGATGCATCTTTCAAATGCAGATCATGTTTGCATTAGAAGAGCAATGAGAACACTTGTCAGTTTCAGAACATTTATGTGCTAGAAGTACTGTTAGCAGAAGAGCAGTTTAGATAAATTCAAGACTTTTTTTGCTGATCACAAACATTAAGCTTCACACCTGAAGCCCTCAACCCCCCGCTGAGCTCTAATCCTAGCGCCATTCACCCTTAGAGACTCCGAGTGCCGTGCCTCAGCTCTCAAACCTTTGATTGCCCTTAGTTTGAATGCCACCACCTGCAAAAATGCCTTTTTATTCCCTTTGAGCCTCTCGAGAAGGAAGTAAAAATGATAATTCATGACAAACATTAATTAATTGTTTACAAGATGATCTTTTCTTTTTCCAACTTCTGTTCAGCAGACATGTTGAACTGCAAGATCCCACTCGCGACGACGCCAGGATCCGTCAAGAGGTCTCTGCATTGTTGTTTGGCACTGAGGCATAGGACCCGCCACGGGCCATTGTTTCTCCAGCTCAAGTGGGCCTGTCTGGTTCCTGTTGGAAGAATGAGGGTGACATGCGTGAGTTCCGTACTATAAAAGGACCGCTGGTTCAGGGGAGAACGGGAGTTTCACGCTAATGCAGAGTAAATAAACATTTTTCACCACCTCTCTTTCTCCGTGTGAGTCTTAAAGGTCAAGGGCTGCCATTACAGTGTTTTAAAAGCTTCAAATTACATTTAAAGAAGGTATCACTAAACTCACAGAAGCCTTATCAGAACTGAGGGGAGCCGGCTGTGATTGTTTGGTCCTTGAGTTTCTCATCACTGGAAGGTGAGCTGCGAGAGGAATGCAGATGTCCTGTTGCCTGATGCCCTGCACAGTGCTCCGAGGATTCTGCTCAAGGCCTTCCAAATTTCCCTCCAAAACAGAGAAAGCGTTGAGACGCTCGGATTTCAAATGCCCGTACCATTGACACCGCTGCTCAAGCATGTTGGATGGACAAGAATTAAGACTCTGGGGGCCTTTTCCGGACAAAGTTCAGAGGCAAAGACCGGGCCAGGTTCTTGCGGAAACCCCCAGATGTGTGTTTGAGAGACAAGTCAAAAGGCAGAGGGAGATTTCTTTTTTAAATTAAAGAATAAAAAGCTTACTTCAAGGAAGTGTGGAGTCAGAGCAGAAAGACTTCCTCAGACCCAGGTTTTTCAGATTTCAAATTACGGGCCCTTAGATCGGCTGCTGAGCGAAAAAAATCAATTCTATATTTTCTGAGTTAATACTGAGGACTGCACTTAGCAGACACAGAGACTAATAAGGTATGCAGAAAGAGTAAGACAGCGCCCGCGCACAAATTCAGGCCTTGGTTTTGGCCATGATCCAGCACAATGATGTTTCAACCCGATTTGAAAAAAAAAAAAAAATCAATAACATCTGTGGTATAATGGTTAATTAAAGCAGCTCTTCGGCGGAGCTCAGGAGGAGAGGCTCGGCCTGAAATTCAGACAGCTGAAGCTTGATTATGAGGAAAGAATGCTTTTTTAGCTATGAGTGGATAGGCCAAAAGCTGCAATGTGCCAAAATGGGGAGAAAAAATTGCTTTTATTTTAACTTTCTTTTAAGTAATCAATACATGCTTTTCACCTGCATTAGGGCACTGCTCAGCCCGGAGGCCGGTACTCCACTTCAGCATAAATTCCAGCTACTGTCTTTTGAACCTGGGGTTTAAAAGAAGGCCCCATCCCCTCTAAGGCCAAAGAAAATAATATGCGGGTTTGGGCATGGGTTCTTGAAACCAGTTAAAGCTCAGGCTCTAGGAAGGTCCGGAGGGTTTAATCTGTAAGCTGTGCTCAAAGCTGACCTGACCTTGGGGCAAACAGAGGTCACAGTCAAAGCATTAAGGCTACACAAAACTGTGACACAACCTTAAGGAAGCCAGGATAGCCAGGCTCAGTCTGCCCCTCTTTCTGGCTTCTGGTTTTGAGGGCTACTCTGGGGATGTTTTCTTTGCCCTTCAAAGGACAAAGGTCAAAGAACCAGCAATTCCTGCTCTAGCCTTAGAGGACAAGGTCAGCAGGTGACTCCTGGAAAGAAATAGCTTGGCAACACCCCTGACTCTTTTCTTCGCCCTGCCTTTCCCTTCCACTACGGGTCCCCGGTTAGCAGCATCCATCCATCCGCTTCTGTTTATCATCACTGCCCGGTCTCAAGAGCTGCAAAACTGAGAATACTGCATGCGGCTTGTCGGGTGTTCGTTCCCATTCAGCATATTTTCTTCTGTTCCAAGCATGTGCCCTGTCCTGACTGGCTCCCGCCAAGGAAGCTTGTAGGTTATCTAAGGCCTGTGTGCTTATGAACAAATAATAGCACAGTGGTGTGGGAAAACAGCTCGAATGGAGTAATGTGCGGAACTGTTAAGAATTTTGAAGCTCCTTCCCGTCAGCTGCGCTCAAGAAGGGCAGAGTGAGGGGTGGAGCTTTAAGGAACATCATCACTGGAGTAGAATATTGGAGGATGAGGTGAATAGGACCTTCACAGTTTCTAAATAGTTATGTGAATTATAGGGAGTCATTCTCAGAAGGATGCGTGCTGAAACACAATGCCAATGGTCTACAAACTCTTCAGAGCTAAACTTTGCATCTCATTTCAGCCTCCCCCTTTTTTAAGGACTATCGGTACCAGAGATAAAATGTCTTGTTGGGCCTGTGACTCAAGCTACTTGAGAGGCCGAGGCAAGAAAACCAAAACATTAAGGCCTGTCTGGGCTACAGAGAGAGAGTTCAAGACCAACCTGTATAGTGAGTCCCTGAGTATAGTGAGTTCCTGACTCAGAACTTTAAAAAAGTAGAGGGAGAGCTGAGGGATAGCTCAGGAGAAGAGCTCTTGCCTGGCACCCACAGAGTCCTAGGTTAATCCACAGTACCACTAAATAAACAAACTCCGTTCTTATCTGTAACACACCAAGTCTTCCTTTCATCTGATCCACATTGAAATTCATTGTTGCTTCTCAAAGTTGAATGCAGCCTTTGGCCTTAACTTTTTCTCCTTATTTTCTAATTGTCATCCAATCAATTTTCTTTTAGTGTTTTGGAATTCCTTTTCCTTCCGCTACAATCTTCAAAAATCTAAATTTAATGGAACCAAGAAGCTGACCTGCTCATGTACTATGTATTACATTAACTCTGAAGTATAAGTTAGAACGAATACCTAAAATATTGGTCTTTCATTTATTGTGATTTTGAATGAATATGAACTCTCTGGGTTTCAGTTCCACATCTGAAAAATGGGCATAATGCAGTAACTACCTCATCAGATGTAATGCAGTTTCCATATTTTGATCTTGTGAAGTGTTGAGAATTGTACCTAGCAATGAAAAAGCACTAAGGCAGTGTTAAATCACAGTTATCACAAGTTATTTACTATGTGATTCTCTGATCTCATTCATTTTTTATATAATCTTGCTAGTTATTTTTATTGTCTCAAATGCAAGCAACCCAGCTATGCAGCGGAACTTTTCCATGCTTCCGTATGGATGAATTCTCAGCTATCACTTTGAATTTGATTTTTTTCCTTAAATGCTCTAGTAATTCATCCTTAGAGCCAATTAGTTACTTCTCTTCTTTTGCTTTTTAATGTTTTAAAATATTTATTTATTTTTATTTTATATGTATGGGTGTTTCATCAGCATGTATGTCTGCGCACCACGTGCATGCCTAATACCTTTGGAGGCCAGAAGAGGCATTGGATCCCCTGGAACTGGAGTTTCAGATGGTTATGGCCACCATGTGGGTGCTGGGAATTGAGCCCAGGTCCTCTGCAAGATCAGCAAGCACTTGTAATGGCGGAGCCATCTCTCCAGGCCCTACATTTTTAATTTCATTATCTGTTGTAGGATATCTGTACACTGTGCGAAAATGTATTGCTGTGATTGGTGTAATAAAAAGTTAAACATCAATAGCTGGGCAGGCGTTATAGGCGGGATTTCTGGGGAGAAAAAGGAAGAGAAGGAGGCAATGAGGTGTGCAGGAGACCCCAGGAAACACAGAGAGGAAACAGGAGGTGCAAGACAGAACAGAGGTAACACCACAAGATAGAACATAGATAAATGGGTTAATTTAAGTCATAAGAGCTAGTTAGGAATAAGCCTAAGGTATAGACCGAGCTTTCATAATTAATGAGAAGTCTTTATGTTGTTATTTGGGAGCAGGCGGTATAGAGAAGGACTCATTACAATTATCCACACTTAAAAAATAATTTAAAATTGTATTGCCACATTTTCTTTCCTAGAGAAGGAATGGGATTTGCCTTTACATTTCCTGTGCAGTTTCTATGACTTTGTATATTGAGACCATTTCCATCCTTTCTAATATTTCTCTCTTCATTTGGCCTATGTGCTCTTCCTTGGAAGTAGTGTAATTACACATCTTTGCAGCTCTTTGGTGAGGGCCGCAGCTTTAATTCTTTTTGGAATAAGCAATTAAATAAAAATTTAAAGGTGGGTTTTGAAGCAGTTATCAATTTAGGCACCATGCTAGCTGCTGGGAGTACCAGGGTATGTAGAGTTTCAACTGCGACCAGGAGAAACCACTCTCTGGCTTAGACACACCAGACTCATCCTCTTGCATAAAACAAGGATCACAGGTTAGGGCATGAGGTTCTAAAAACTACCAGGGATCCCAGAGCTCCTCTTTCTCTTCCAGCTTGGACCTCCCCCATGGCATCTCACGGTATGAGATTGTTAGTGAAACATTAGCTACTACATCTTTATCCAAGGCAGCAGGTTGAAAGATGGACATAAAGGCAGAAAAAGGTAGGACTTTTTCCTTAAGGACTCCTCCCAGAATTCTTAATTATCTATCCTGATTTTCTACCTGCTAGCAGTCACATAGCTTAGTCACCTAAGAAAACCTGGGAAATAAAGATTTTATTCTGAGATCATCCATTTAACAAAAGGGGAAAAATTGCCAGTCAGGATTCTAGGTCTAATAAGACATGGGGTGTGGGAGGCCAGCTGGGTGACTGGCTCCCACATTTTACCCCAGGGTACTCTTGAGGAGTGAGGGATAAGAGATTTAGAGGGATAGAGGCAGGAGAAACAGATGGAAACACAGGATAGCCTCGGGAGGGCCTGGATCCTAGTCCACCAGCCCCCTCTGTCTCTTCTAGAGGGCTATTTATAGGAACGCCAAAGGGTGGAGCAAAGACCTCCCCCCAGCACAGCCAAGTGCAGACCCTTTCCAATCACCTGGTAACCATGAACATGGTCAAGCAATTCTCTAATGCAGCTCTGCTGGGTAAAGCAAGCTCAGGTCTCCCTAGAAAACCTTTGTGGGCCTCCACAGTCGGGAGCAGACATTAGTGTCTGACTGGTATTCTCTGCCATGAAGTGGGCTATGGCAAAGAGGAGCTCCACTTTCAGGGGCAACAATGGATAGGGCAACAATGGCTGCTATGCAGTCAAGTGAGGACTGGTGAGATAAACGTGAAGTCACTGGCATCTCGTTCTTCCATCTTTATCTATTGATTGGATTCCTCCTTCTACAGAGGCTTCCTTGCTCCTTCCCACTTCCACCCATCTACTACATCCCAGCCACCCCAAGGCTGGACTGACACAGCGATTCTCCCCAGAACCACCTCCCCTGATTTGCAGGCTTTGTGCCTGTCTCCACAAGGTCACAAAGTCACCGAGGGCAGCCGCAGGACTTGATTGTGTTTAAAAAGAATGAGCTTGGCTTAGGAAGTGCTCAGTGGTTGCTGGTAGGAGACCTTACATTTGAAAACCCAATTTTAAAAGACCATTAAACAATTTCCGGCTTCTTATCACTGAAGGATATTTACCCCATTCTCTGTGTCTACCCGAGGAGAGTGACTTCTCCAAAGTTCTCATGATGTTCTTTCAGTGGCATTCAACTCGGGCCACATCTTTTAACTTCTCAGTGTTCCTATTTTGTTCCATTTTATAATGCTCCTATTTGGGAATTCCAAGCATGGACAAAAGTGAATGTGTTTTTTAAAAGAACATTAATTTAATGTTTTTCTAAGGCCCTTATAAGTCATAAGTCAATTGTGGGATTTCTATTAGTCAAGGAAAAATTAGAATAATGGATGATGTAGATTTTTGCAGGAAGAATTCACATGCTAGTAAAAACCAAACTAAGATGGAAATGCTTTGGAAATGACAGCAAATCTATGTTTTTGTTTATGTCCATTTATGTAAACACAAAGGCCTTTATGTTTGTTAATATATTTTCACTAGGACTATTGAAGAAAGGGGGGGGTAGAGTCTGTTTTTATAGTTAGGAAAGAAATAGATTGGCATGGGAAACCAGAGGGGACATTTTCATTGGGAGATATAAAGATAGACATGATAAAGGACTTATCTCAGAGAGGCAGTTCATAAATGTTAGGAAGCAGGCTAGTTGAAAAATCTTGTAACAGATACGTTGAGGAATAATTCATTCATTCAACAAAGGTAATCTGTAAGAAATAATGGGGAAATAGGAGGAGAGAGCATTGAGCAGGAATGAAATGAATAACACAGACAAGGTGGGGGTGACCTGTGACAAGAGGCGGATGCTTGTATATTCAAAGCCTGCAGGTCAAACGCATTTTGTCACCACATTTAGTTCACTTCTAAATTAAACTAATTGAATTTTTATTTTTTAGATGCATTTTACTTAGGAAAATACAACAATAGAATCCTGGCCAGTGAGCTAGCAGGGTTATCAGCTAAGGGCTACCTATTACTAATCTTAATCATTAGAGAGTTCTGTTCTGTTTTTGAAGTTCAACCATTGCATACAAAATACATCGTTAGAACTAATAGTAATTTCTAGCACTGTTCAACTCAAAAAGTCTGTTACATATTAAGAAATTAATGTCAATACGATCCAAGAATGTAAGTAGTATACAAAATACTTTGTACTTCACAGATAAAGGAATAAGGTGAAATCTCTTATGTAACATCCACTCCAGAGAAAGGTGGGGATTTGGGTAATTATAGCTACAATGAAGTGAAAGAAACTCTTAGCTTACAAAAATGTCACGAACAGTGTGTCTTTTATTTTTAAAGGAACCTCTTATCTTTAAACTAGATAGTAGGGTCAAACTCAATATAAATGGCTTGTCTTGGAGCTGTTGTGGTATGTCTACTCATTGTTAGACATCCACGAGCATCTTCTGTGTGCCCCGACTTATGACAGTCTGTCCTCCTTCCCATTTAGTCTCTATAGCTACCAATCTCATCATCTATGACATCTGCAGGACAGTTTCACTATAAAGGTTGTGGGTGTTTACAAACTCAGATGACTCCATATCTAATGTCTTAAGCACCCATACTCTGATTATCCACTCCCAACTCTCCCAGAGACAGTGGGGGGAAAAAAAAACACCTTGAACCAACTAAAACTCACAGTTCATTGCCAGCATATCGGAGGAACTGTTTTTTATGAATTCCAAGACTAAAGGAAGCTCTAAGGAGAAAAATAGTGAGGAGCTTGTAATATATCTCAACAAAGAAAAGAAGCCCCGACTCCCGGGACCAACACTTCCGACTGCCTCGTACTACAACTGTTCCCAGGTGCTTTCTTTAACGGAGAAAGACTTTCTGTTCAGACATGTTAGTGCAGCCCCCCCTCCCTTCCTCCTGCCTTGAATGTGAAGGTGAGAGAGCAGCCATCTTGACCACAAGGGCACCTGTGTGTGAATGAAAAGACCGCCTTCAGAACGGCACAGCAAGGTGACAGGAGTGGACCTCCTAGGCCAGCCCCAAAACCGTCTGTCCACACACATGACGACAGCAAATGTTGCTACAAACCATCCCAGTGACACAGAAACTGGGCAGCTTTCTATTATTTCAAAGTCATTTTTTTTATTTATCTGATTATAAAAGTAATTAGTGTGTCTTGTGAAATATATAGAAAGCCAGAGGTATTCAGGAGGAAGATAAAACCACCCATAATCTCACCAACCAGAGATAATAACACTAATATTTTACTGCGTGTACTTCTGTATATAAATACCCATATTGTATTTAAAAAATTTAAATTTAATATTTGTTTTGATATCTTTTCTACTTTTCTTATATCATCTGATTTAAGATATTTGTCTATGATACATTTTAATGGCTCCATGGTATTTCATTTTATGGAAATATTAGCCTTTAATTACTCCCCTAGTATTAGTCATATAGATTATCTCCAAATTTTTACTGTTAGAAACAACTCCAAAGTTATTCATATATGACTAAGATTATTTTATATATGTTCATAAAAGTAGAATTATTAGAGTCAAAGAAGTATACATATGGAGATATATAAATGCACAGTAGTTTTTCATGGGGTGCACAGACATACATACAAACATCCATCATATAAAAAAACAAAATAAAATTTTAAACCAGTATTTCTGGTACTACTTGACTTGTAACATCCAAAATTACACATTACAGTATGTTACATGCCCAGAACCTTGTTTATCAATAAGCTAATGTGAATTCCGTCAGTGATCTCTACTATCAATAAAAAACTTAAAGCAAAACGTTTAATGGGCAGTCCAGCCAAGCATCACCCATAGGCTGGAGACAGAAGACGTTAACACAGCCAGAGCCTGATATCTGCTTTCAAATCAGAATTGCCGGGAGAAGTTGGTGATGAGCTCTCCGCTGGCTGACTCCCTCTATACCAGCAAATAGTATTTTGTAGTTCAGTCCCAGGACGGGTCTCCTAAGAGCCAGTAGGACAGTACCCAAGATTTACTTTCTAAAGCCAAATGAGTGTCTAGTTCTGTGAGCCAGGAGTCTTCGGGAAATATGACGTGTGCCTTCACAGACCTCGACGACACCAGAGACTCTAAACTGTTGGGTGCTAAACGGCACCCTTATCTAGGATGACTAGCCTTCTAATCACCCGGTTTTCTCTTTTTCTGCAGTGCTTTTTGTCATTAACAATTAGATCTTGCTATTATCTATGTATCCTTAACATGCAGTCCCTTTAAACTTAGTCGGACCCTTTTCTGCGCCAGTTACTCACTCAGTCCTAGAGTTTAAGAATTTTTCCTCTTTGATGAGTAGCAGCATCCGGGTCTCTTGATTTTTTAGCCCGTCTGAAATGGAAGAGAATAGGCTGTCGGCAAAAGGAGGTCATTTAGCCAGAATTCCTGTGCTCTGTACTTGAGCGCTGAACAGTCTTTGTGAGGGCCTCGTGCACTTTTAAACTTTAATAACTCGGGGTGTGCGTGTTAGAGAAATAATCTGTAAATGGCACTCAAAAGTAAATGTATTAAATTTTAAGACAACTACATTACACAATTGCACACAATATGTACTCATTTCAGATCCTGGGACAAATGAAATATGGCCAGCAGAATTGAAGTTCACGACAGCTCTAAGAAGAAAATTGAATTTGCCTTTAAATTCCATTTACAGTTTACTATCATGTCTACCTCGTATGCTTTTGAAGTTAAGTTTGGAAATGGCACAGAGACTTCATAAAGATCCTCTACTTGAATTCAGTGATAAGTATAGTTAGAGAGAACATCAGATCATCTCTTAGCAAAAATAATATACCTGCTTACTTTAGCTGCTTTTAAAACAGCTTCAGAAATAGAAAGTACAGTGAGTCTCCACAGTTGGTACAACGCAGTAAACAAGAATGAGATGGAGTATTTGAAACAGGAGACGAGCTCTCTGTGTGGGGAATAGCTTGCTGAGTGATTGGATTGACGAAGTTCAGATTTCTCCTATCTTTTAAGGTTTTTATTTTTTGAACCCCATGCTAAAAGTAGGATTACCTGGGCCACCAACTGAAGATCAAATGGTTTTTATATGCACGTGCATGTGCGTAGACAAGAAAAAAGGAATTCTCTATACTTCCCCAGTTAAAAGTTGGTCTCACTATGTCATGAGAAAAAAAAAAAAAAACACAGAACAAAACAAAATGCTAGTCTTTTCTGCGTGTCTCAAAACAGGAGGTTGCAAAATCAAAGGCCCTAAGTCTACCAAAAAAGAAAAAAAAATCGGGGGTGTGTATTTGAAAAGGAGAGCAGGAATCAGGCTACTCTCCAAGTCCTTGCTGAATACATAAAGCCAAGAGCTGAGGAGAGTTATGCAACCGGATTGCTTTGGCTGGTCTCTGTGTGCAAAGTGATTCATTTCCTGTATTTGGTCAAGATAGGGGAAAGTTGGGCACACACAAATGTGATGGAGCTTTTGATCAGAAAAGTTTATCAGATAACTGGGTAAGATTTCGTGATAGGTATGGAGAGTATTTTAGTGCTTCAGATCAAGGCTGGACTGAGAGAATGCTGGATCCCAAAGGTGTCACATTTCTAGCTTGGGGAAATCTGTTTTTGTTTTTGTTTTTCCCCTTACTGCTGTCCCAGAGCGACGCTAAGTGTTCTGCTCAGTCACAATCTTCCTCATAAAGGATTCTGGAAGACATCCTTATGCTGAGTTAGGCATTGCTTTTAGAGCCACCAGTGGGGTTTCATTTTAACACAGAAGAAGCTCAAGAAGTAATCCTCTATCTGAATGATTTCAGGCATCTCCAGGGCTGGGAAGAATTTAAGGGAAGTGAATTCAAAGGGTCGGGAAGGTTTCTGAACCCTAGCATTCTGGACTGGGGGAGTCCTCTTCTTGGTGAATCCCACATTCAGCAGCTAGCCTTCACCTGATGTCAGTCAAGGGTTGCATGCAGAGTTCTGGAGACAGCCTGGAAATGCAAAAGTTTAAGTGACCTATACACTTCAGTATTGGAAGAAATGGGGATGGTAATGACGCCCCTGAAGGTTTTCCTTGGCAGTACTTAGCAAGGCTACAGTAACCTGAAAATTCGCAGAAGCAGTGAATATTCAAATTGCTATAGTTAGAGAATCCCCAGTGAACTTGGCCTCTTAATTCAGGGCTGAAGCATTGATTGAAGAAATGTAGGAATTTCTCCCCTTAGTGGAGCTATATTAGACTGAATCTTTGTACCTTCAAAGACGTGAAGAAAAAAAAAAAACAATAAACCCTCATCTGTATTGGTGCCAGTTTTGAAATGTTTTGTTAAATTCCTGAGACTATCGAAATGTATTAATGTCTCCATCCTATTGCAGATTTCTTCATTAGGAGATTGCAAAAAAATGTGATGTGTTCATCGAACTATTATCTGATTTGAATAATCACTCTAAGCCCTCATGGTTGGCTTATTTTGCACAAAATTGTGTCAAGCCCCTTTGTGAGTGGTACGGATACCAGAATGTCTTAAACCTAAGCCCCAGACAAATGTGGCATCAATCTCAAATGCCGGATCACAAGTTCTTTCTTCAAGCTGTCACTGGGAGAAGGAAATCAATGTATGTTCTGCCATCAGAGGAGATAACGTTCAGGCTGCCCAGGAAGTGTACAGCATCTGATACTTTTAAAAGCTTTAAATACATTCAGCATGCTAATTAGATTTGCTTACATATAGATACCAGCTTTATGGGTCTGACTGGAACATATTTGAGTAGCAATCTGGAAATTTTTGTTCTCACAAGTGTTATACCAAAAGTGCTGGTCTCAGCAATTCTAACTCTTGTTTTCCTACCTAATCTCTCCAAACTCCAGTTTCCTCCTCCATTATAAGTAAAATTAAGACAGAAACAGAGGCAGTAGGACTAATGTGTATCACTGAAGATAAATTCCTAATTGGCAGGAAGAAAGCTGATCACACACACACACACACACACACACACACACACACACACACACACACACACTCATACTCACATACAGAATACTGTAGTCATGCATGAGAGACTCTCATAGAGCAGCAATTTTTCTGTTGCCTCAGGCGTCGTCATGGGCTCTGCTTCTGACACTGACACTCTTTCCAGGTAGCAGCCAGGAAAGATGCACTTGAACTATCGCACTTGGGAGAAGGAACACACAGTCCTGACCAACCTTGCTGCCTTTGCCTCTGTGGTGTCTAGAAAAGCCCATGTCAACCCCTCTATGTCTCCAGCTGTCAGAGAATTTGGTGAGATAATCAACATTGAGGCACTGAGCTTCCTAAAATGCTGAATTTTCACAGTTCTTGTCCCTCAAGCCTTACAACACAGCAAGATGGTGAAGAAATGGAGTTGGTGTCAAGAATGACTTTGCCGTTGCACATTGACTCAGGCTGTGCATATGCTGGTGCAGGAAATCTGGGGTTAGCATATATTCATGGAGCGCTTTGGAATTTGGAGTAGATTTTAAAACACAAGAGATCGTTCCATTCTTCTTGTCACATACCGAGTCTCCAAATTTGAGCCTACTATAAAACCTCCGGTACCTGATTTATAATCTTCCTCCCTGTGGTCTTTGAGTTTGAGAAGAGGTATTTGGTGGAAACATTCCTGCTCTTTAGGATGCTTATTCCATCTCTGATCCAAGTTAAAATATGCCTCCCCTGAAATTACCTTCAAAATCTTGTAAGACAAAATACATTTTTATGATGATAATATCCATTCACATTTATTGGAGAAAGCTTACAAAACTTTACACATCACAATAACACTCCAAGATAATTTGGGAGTCTTTGTTCATGTTCTTTCTCACACTGTCTGCAAACTACATTATATTAAATATTCAACATTCTATCTTCACTTTTTTTTTTTCATTTTTGGTTTTTGATTTTTCAAGACAGGGTTTCTCTGTGTCGTTTTGGTGCCTGGCCTGGATCTCACTCTGTTGATCAAGCTGGCCTCAAACTCACAGAGATCCACCTGGTTCTGCCTCCCGAGTGCTGGGATTAAAGGCATGTGCCACCGCTGCCCAGCCTATCCTCACTTTTAAAGATGTTTTAAAGAAATATGAATTGCCGGGTGGTGGTGGTGCACACCTTTAATCCCAGCACTTGGGAGGCAGAGCCAGGCGGATCTCTGTGAGTTCGAGGCCAGCCTGGGCTACCAAGTGAGCTCCAGGAAAGGCACAAAGCTATGCAGAAAAACTCTGTCTCGAAAAACAAAAACAAAACAAAATATGAATGAATTTCTTTTAAAAACAGCTTCCTAGCTGGGCGGTGGTGGCACATGCCTTTAATTCCAGCACTTGGGAGGCAGAGGCAGGTGGATCTTTATAAGTTCGAGGCCAGCCTGGTCTACATAAGAAAGGCACAAAGCTACACAGAGAAACCCTGTCTCAAAAAACAAAAAACAAAACAAAACAAAACAAAAAAACAAACAAAAAAACAGCTTCCTAAATGTATTGTTACTATCATTATTATTATCATTATCATTATTATTATTATTGGTTTTTCGAGACAGGGTTTCCCTGTGTGTAGTCCTGGTTGTACTGGAACTCACCTTGTAAACCAGGCTGGCTTCGAACTCTTGGAGATCTACCTGGCTCTGCTTCCTGAGTCATGGGATTAAAGGCATGCGCCACCACCGCCTGGCCCAAATGTATTATTTTTAAAACCTTGTAACCTACAATAATGTTGAAGGTTATGGTCAGCAGCCATGTATACATTGCCTAGATCCTACTGTAGGTCACTGCCTGGCTGTGTTTGCAAACTTCAGTGTGACTTGTCAGTTCTCCCATCAGCCATATATTAATTAAGTTTCTCTTTCATGCATTTCAAAGTGCAAACGCCACTTACACTTCAGTCTAAATATTTGAGCATTCATTATTTTTTACTGGAGTTCAATATTAACATTTGCTTTCCAGGCAAGATTTGCATATAATGAACTGTGAAATTCTTGCGAACTCCTGCCAAGATTAGAACATTAGCATCATCGACCCCAGAATGTACCAGTGTCACTTTCCAACAGAGCAGTCCTGCCTGGCCTTGAACTTCCCATCCTGGGTCACACAGGTGCACAGCTCTGTGTAAGGCTTCTTTCTTTTAGCATGATGTTTTTGGGGTATGCCATTTCACTTGTGTATTGCTGGCTCCTTCTTACTGCTAGTTTCTATTGTGATTTATAATGCACCAATGCATCCACTTCCCTACAGATGAACAGTTTTTGAGTACTTTGAAAAAAAGCTGCTGTGAACATTCTTATGCAAGTCATTTGTGGACAGAAAGCTTATTTCTTTAAGATAATGCCTCAGGACAGAACTCCTAGGTCTAAAGTAGGTAGGTATATATTTTTAAGAAGCAATCAAACTTCATTCAAAGTAGTTCTACCATTTTACATTTACAGTACCCAGGGGTGAAAGTGCCTATCATTGTGCATCAGTAGATCTCATGACATCACTTCCATTGCTTCAGTATTCAAATATTTTGATACTGTTTTTACTAGTCCCAAGATTAGTACAATACCCTTACACCTTCTTATAGATTTTTGCTCCCTAACACATTTTCATTACTGTGCTCATGAAGTCTTCAAAAACTTTTTGTCTCTTTTATTTCTGTCATAATTCACCTTATGAATCTTCTAACCAACTTGGTGTTGATTGACTAGCATCTTCTAGAATAAAGGGTATTCCTTGAATATTGCTGTGTAAAAATTCATCATAAGATGCGGCAACATGAGATGTAGAATGACTAACTAGCAAACATGTACTAGCTCTAGTCCTGAGGAGCAGGCTGGTTGAGTGGTTTGAGTTCAGGTTTCCCACAGGGTAGTAATGAAGAGGTCAGCTCTAAGTCATGTAAGGCTTGAGTGGGGTCTGCTTCCAAGTGGGTTTCTCAGAGTCAGCACCCATATGTTTAAAATAACCACAAATGGTCAGTAGCATCCAAAGTTGACATTGTTGTATCATAGTTTTCTTCTTCTTCACTGTCTCCTCCTTTTTCTCTGCTCTCTCACACCCAGGACCTTATACATGCTAGGTTTGTGCTTTCACACTCAGAGATGGCCCCAGCCCCCTTGGTCTCTTGTGGTGATTGTTTTTAATGCTCAAATATTTTTTTTAAAAATTTCTTTCTTCTTTCTTTTCCTTGAGGGCAACCTTATTAGTGTTTAAAAAGGGAAATTCCCAGGGCAAGTGAGCTTCAGCCTTTGACAGCTACTCAGAGGAAAATGGAGAAGAGAAGGGAAAGATGTCATTTGAGCTAACAGTGTGCAGCTCCACCCCAGAGCAGCAGGCAGCTGAGTGCGTGTGGAGATTTAGAAAAAGGCTAGGAAGTCCAGGATATCAGAAAAAGCATATCTAGGTTCTGGCCAGCATCTGAAAGAAAACGTCAAAAGAAGAAAAAAGGAAAAGTTGCATCTTTCTCAGAGAGCTCGTCAGACTGAACAAGGTTCATGATAGAGTGGCTTGTAGTATGATAATGGAGTGGGAATTCTGGGAAGAAAAATGGCAGTATCTTATTTAAGGAATAATTCTTTCTCTTGTTTCTTCGGCATGGGTGCAAGGTGAATCTACCTTCCTAGGGGTGCTACCTCCTCCTTGAGGGTCACCTCCACTGACCAGGTGATTGATCTGCGCTCCTAGGATGTTAGGCCTAACTAGGATGTTGGGCCAGAGTTTCTGTGGCTTAGACCAAGAGTTTTCCCTTGTTGGGCCTTTATTGAAACTCTCATATCACCCCCAAGAGGTGGCTCTAAAATCATTTAGGAACCAGATCATCAAACAGAGCCCCCAGATGCTTTGGTCATCCCTGGCTTCAGGCAAGGATGAGGCTGCCAAGGGTCCCAGGGATATTTCTGGCTTTTAGAAAAAAAACTGACTGTTTTCTTTTTTTCTCCCTGAACCCTAAACTGCCTAGGCAGTTTCTACCTCCTGTTCTCCTCATCCTCCCAGTGAAGAGGTAACCCTAAGTGACACTATGGAATTAGGGCAATGACTGATGGGGACATTGACTATGGCAGCTGGAATACCTTAGTGAACCTATCTGAACGACTCCATCAGTGATATTTGTATTAGTTATATTTGTCTAACTGTCTGATGCAGGTGGAAAGGAAATCCTTGACCTGTGCTTGGAAAGAGACACAGGAAAATTTATTAGCATTGCACAGTCCTAGGCAGGAAACCTGTGAGGCCAGAATAGAGGACATTTTAAAAGTCTGAATCAAAGTCCTTCAGAATCTATTTTGCCTACCTTTTAAAGTTCATTGTTTAGGAAAGTGCATGGTACATAGTTTTTTTTTTTTTTCAAAGCTAGCTTTAGAGAGACATATTCAGTGGATCACAGAACAAATCAAAATGTATAAATGTAGGGAAGAGAGCTGAAGGAAGTGGACAGGTAGTAAGGCTGGGAAAGAGATAAAACAGCAGCAGATGGATGTAAACAATGTACAATATAGTATAAAATTATCAACGAACAAATGTAATCCATTAAAAATGTGTCTGAAGGAATCTGCAAGAAAATGAAGCCTGCTAACTTCCTCTACCCTGTGTTGGCCAGCCCACCATCTCTTCAGTTTGACAACACAAACTCATCAGTGTGTGCAGAGCAGTTCTTGATTTCAGCCAAGAGCAGGTGCCTGGGCTCTGCACTGCTCAGTATTTGGGAGAAGGATGGGCTTAGGCAGCTGTAAGGCAGTACCATCTAATGCACACAGACAGAAGAGAGGAGCCACAGTCAGGACTTGGGGATCTTGGCTAAACATAGTCCCCATTACTTCAAGGTACTTTATTCACATTTCTCATGCACTGCTTATTTGGATTGAGCAATAGCCTATCCATAATATTAGTCGCTTGTTATAATTCATAAAATATGAATTCATGTAAAGGCATTGCTGAAATTGTTATGGCCTTATGGCTCAGGAAATAAGGTAGTACTATTATGTGTATGTGTGCATTAAGTTCATTAATTTCCTCTTTTCTGAATAATGTGTTAAGTGTTTGCTTATGTATGTTTCTGTGTGTGTTTGTGTGTGTTTTAAGTGTTAGGGATTAAGCTTATAGACTCACCCATGCTACACACATGCAAAACCTGATCTACATCCCTAACATTGTTCTCTAGTTACAAACATTTCTTTAAAAAATAAAGTTTCATTTTTTAAAAATAAAAACATTAAGAAAAGAAAGTATCAGTAGCTTATAATTCTTGGTCATCTTTTGTCTATCATGAAATTACATTGTCTGCAATTCCCAAAGAAGTAATAAAAAGGTTTGCAGTGGAAGATGAGTGACATTTTAGTATAATCATAACTATACTGTTTCCTACACTTTGCATTTAAAATATCATAGATGAAAGTTATGCTTTTTTTCATTTTGATGATTATTCTTTTTTTCTTTATTAAGAAATTTTCTACTCACTCCACATACTATCCACAGATTCCTCCTCCTCCCTCCTTCCTCCTCCCTCCTCCCACCCCCCAGCCCTCTTTCCCAAGCCACCCCGCATCCTCATATCCCCCAAATTGAGGTCTCCCATGGGGAGTCAGCAGAGCCCAGCACACTGAGCCTAGGTAGGTCCAAGCCCCTTCCCACTGCACCAAGGCTGTGCAAGGTATCACACCACAGGCACCGGGTTCCAGAAGCCTGCCCATAGACCAGGGACAGATCCTGATCCCCCTGTCTGGGTGCCCCCCAAACATTTTGAGCCAAACAATCATCTTCCAAATCCAGAGGGCCTAGTCCAGTCCCATGGGGGCTCCACAGCCACCAGTCCACAGTTCATGGGCTTCCGCTAGTGTGGCCAGTCATCTCTGCACGTTCTCCCATCATGATCTCGACGTCCCTCGCCTGTAGTGTCTCTCCTCTCTCTCATCAATAGGATTCCCAGAGCTCAGCCTGGTGCCTGGCCGTGGATCTCTGTATCTGCTTCTATGAGTCACTGGATGAAGGCTCTTTTTCATTACATATAAGTAGCCACAAAGATTTGGTGTGGGGTGGGGGTGGGGGGTGGGATTTAAAGACATATTGACAAACAATGAAATAATTGACAAACACTAAGTCAACCATGTTTTGTTTTGTTTTTTTTTCCAAAGAATGCCTCTCTAGGACAACTTCTTTAAGCCTAAGACTAATAATTACAATCACACTTGTACTGTGATCCCACAGTACAAGTACATTAGCTTCATGTATCCAGGACTTAGAGCCCTGGGGATGACCGTTCCCCATCTTTTATTTCCCCCTACCCAAGTGTGGCTTTGCTGAGGTGGGGTCTGCATCTTTGACATGAGCTAAGAAGGGACTCCCCTGCAAGTGGAATCACCACTTTAATTTAATCACAGTGAGCTCGATAATAAAGTGATTCTGTCTGTGTTGTTTTTTTGTTTTGTTTTGTTTTGTTTTGTTTTGCTAAAAGTTGTCATCAGCTTGGTTATTCCTTAGGATATGGAAGCTCTTTCTAGAGTTTGACTGTGTTGCCAGTACCTGCACAGATAGCCGTCAAGAGCCATGGAAATGTGCTTGCTCCACCAACTGGTCAGCTATAATATTCTATTAGAGAAACAGAAAGGAAAATTATGTTGTTTACCTGTGGGAGATGCCAATCACAATTACAAATAAAAATACAACTGAGTTTTAAAATATTAGTTCCAAAATTTTTTTGGAAACCCATAATTGTGAAATCAACTATTTTTTCTGGCTGATGGGTTTTTTTAAAAAAATATTTTCTTTCCAAGTTATTACTGAATTCTCATGTATTTATGAAATTTCATGCTCTTGTTCCTTGTGTGAGCCAATAACTGAGGTGGATTTACATTAAGACCTTTCCCAGGAGTGTGGAATATTAAAAAGGAACTCTTAATAAATCCCAAAGTATACCAAATAGGTTAACTTTATCACAAAGTGCCCCCAAATTCCATTAATACATGTAAAGTCTCTCTCTATATACACATATATGTAGTCATATATATAACTATACACACACACACATATGCACCTTGATATATGTGTACTGTTCCTGTCTGGTGTCTTTAGCTGTTTCTTTGAGATCTTTCAAGGCCAGTTCCTTGAACATACAAAGCAAGTGTTATGTCCCAAGCCACTTCCCTGGCCCCTAAAGGGATTTATACGATTGTAGAAAGTGTGGAGGACAGAGCCATCTCAGGCAGATTCACGTTATCAAGTAGTGATGTTTGTATTTGTCCCTTAATGACCTGTACTGAGCATTACTGAGTGCCAGTCTCTGAGCAAGGGACATTCACATCAATGGAAGAAGGAATAGATGAGGGAGGGAATTCTATGGCACAGGATGGCCTGGGTGAGATGATTTATTTTGGAGTTTCATCCACTAAAATGCTGCTGTGTGTGATCCCTTGAAGTGCTGATCCTGCAAAGAAACCAGTTTGAGCCTTTCACAAACTTTAAAATCAGAGAGTGTGGTGGTTTATGAAAGGTGGGGGTGGTATTTCAAAACACCTGGCTTGCCATGATCTTTGTCTGGAAAACAGTATAGACTATGACAATATGTCATTTAATGGAAGGCACCAAATAATTGCTGTGTCTGAAGAGTCCAACAGGAAGCATTCACTGAGGCAGGAAGGTAAACTCAAATGAACCTAAAGCTGAAATTAACACAAATACCCAAACTCAAAGCAATGAGATCCCCAAACACGTTTCACAACAGTAGGAGAGTCTTAGACAGCAGAAGAGGATGCCGAAGACCCCGAGTCCCTCCTCCTCTTGTGTTACCCTATCTGTCACCCAGGGAACAGGTTCTGCTGACTCCCCCCCACACTGTCTCACACCGTCTTGCATTTGAAGGTGCTGACCGTGACTCAGCCCACACCTCATCTTGCTTTCAAGCCTTCCTACACAATACACGCTCGCCACTAGTTCAGGATTCAGCTTAGCAGCGTGATTCAGGCTGTTTCCACTTTCCACATTATCTTTTCCCACCCAAGGGCCGTCTCCTGCCCAGGCTTCTGCAGCAGCTGGATCTGGGCGAATCCAAGGGCCGCCGAGTGAATGATGGCTCTCTCTTTCTCGCTCTATTCTGGGGAGTTTCTGGCATTCCCACAGGGCACAGCTTGCCTGCCTGCCTTGCTTTTGCACAAGGTCAAATGTGAAATAGCCACATTTCAGGAACTGCTTTTGTGGAAACAGGGAATGCATGGAAGCCAAAGCCAACACCTCCGGAAGCCAGTGTTTTGCAGAAGACAAAAGACTAGTAAGTGTAGGGCCCCGTTGTTCCTCTCTAAGCCCATCTCAGTTATCAGAGGCTATGTCTGTAGATGTAACCAACCGTCTTATTAAATAAGAAACACAGAACCAATGCAAAGAAGAAAGCCAAGAGGTCAGAGCTAAGAGCTAAAACCTTACCCTTCCTCCTGCGGTGGTCCTACCTCTCCGAACCAGAGCTACTTCCTGTGTGTCTGTCTTTTTATAGTGTTTCTGTTCTGCCTTCTCATTGGTTGTAAACCCAACCACATGACTTCCTCGTCACGTCCTGTCTGTATAGACCTCCAGGTTTTCTGTGATTGTTATTGAGATTAAAGGCATGTGTATCCAATACTGGCTGTATCCCTGAACACACAGAGACTTACCTAGCTCTGCCTACCAAATGCTGGGATTACAAGCGTATGCCACCACTGCCCTGCTTTCCTATGGCTTGCTAATAGCTCTGACCCCCGGGCAACTTTATTTATTAACATACAAATAACATTTTAATACAAATAAAATATCACCATATATGTCTAGTCTTCTAGATGTGAATGACACACAATTTCTCCTCTTTCTCTCTCTTTCTTCCTGTGTGTTAAAAGTGAAATAACTTTAAAACTTTTTATCAAGCATGATTTGTGTATTTGTGTGTGCATGTAGAGTATATGTAGACACATGTTCATGAGTCGGTGTGCATGTTGGTGCATTTGTACGTATAGACCAGGTGACCAAATCACCTTCCACTTTTTCTTTGAGATAAGGTCTCCCACTGAACCCTGTGCTCACCAGTTGACTAGACTGGTTGGTCGGTGAGCTCCAGGGATCTGCCTGTCTCTCACTTGGCTTTTCATGTGGGTGCTGGGCATCCAAACTCAGGTCCCCTTGTTTGTGCAGCAGCCCATTTCACTGACTGAGCCATCTCTCTGTCCCCCAAAATATCAAACAGTGACATTTTCAAGACAGAGGATAAACAGACTGTATTTGCTTCCCATTACCCACACACGTTTCTCTTTCTCTCCCCACCCCCACATGCCCTCTTCCTAGTCCCTCAACTTTACTGAATGGTTTTCTTTCTTAAGCTTCCACATTAGAAAGAAACCCCCATGACATTTATCTTTATGAATTTGCTTTATTTTGCTTAACATGGTCTCCTATTCCATCCATTATCTTGTCAATGACAAATTTTGTTTTTTCTGTAATTAGGTGGACAAAATTCCATTGTATGTATAAATGTGTATCACAAAGTTCTTTATCCATTCACCCACTAGTAGGCACCAAGGCTAATCCTAGGACCTGAACTAATGTGAACAGGTCAGCATCAACAAGGGTTTAGGTATGTCTCTCATGTGGTACCTTGATGCTTGTGGGTATTTACACAGAAGTGGTAGCTGGATTATATTTTAGTTGTTTTTCATTCTTTGAGGAGTTTCCTCACTGAGTTCTACAGTGGCTAAACTAATTAACCCTACCACAAGAGTGTGTAAAAAGTCCCTCACTATTTATTGTTTTTTGTTTTCTTGATGGGTTCATATAAAATCTTAATGTAGATTTAATTTTCACTTCCAGGAAGGCTAAAGATGCTAAATGTTTTTCATGTACATTTTTGCCATTTGTATTTTTTTTCCATTTGTATTTCTGCACTGGATACTGTCTGTTCAGTTATTTTGCCCATATGTATATTTTTATCCAAGCTTTGTCCTTCCAATTACTAACCTCAGAAACTCTCTCTCTCTCTCTCTCTCTCTCTCTCTCTCTCTCTCTCTGTGTGTGTGTGTGTGTGTGTGTGTGTGTGTGACACAAACTTACATTAACGATATTTTTGAAATTCATTTCTTGGAATTTTGGGAGCAAATTTACTCATCTTAGGTTTTCTGTTTATTCTTTGAGACTTGCATACACTATTTCTTGATCATATCTGACTCAATCACCCTCATCACCCCTCCCACTGCCTCTCAAGGCTCCAATACTTCTGTCTCCCATCACATGCCCTCTGTGTCTTTAAACAACTCACTGAACTCTGCCCCCAAGCACATAGATGTTGGCCACCCACAAGAGTATAGGCACAACCCGAAGAAAAATGACTCCCCACCCTCCAGCAGCCATCAATTAATTGCCAACAGTTCCTCGGCTTAGGTTAGAGTCTCAGGAGCCCTCCCCATCACAATGGAAGATTGCTTGGCTTGGTCTCCACAGCGACCATGAGTTCATGAGCACAACAACCCTGTCATGCCCAGCAGATGGCAATTCATGCACTCTTTCCTATCCCTTGGCTTTTTATATTCTTTCTGCCTCCTCTTCTGGGATAGTCCATGAGCCTTGGGGTGGGGGTAGCTATAGCTGGCCTATTTAAGGCTGAGCACTCAATAGTTACTTATTAATACTTCAATCAGTTATGAGCCTCTCCATTGACTGCTACCCCCGCCTCCCCGTAAAAACAATCACCTCTGACTAAGGTCGAGAGCATCACTAATCTGTGAGTATAAACATAATATTTAAAGGGCAGTTTGGCATTTAGCAAAACAACAGTTGTACATTCCCCTCCAGCCTCCGAGCCATGGGCTCCTGACCAGATTTATAGTACTAAGCATGAATTCCCTCCTGTGCAGCGGGCCTCAAACCCAATCAGAAGGCAATTCGTTAGCTCACACCAACACACCACATGGCACTAGTAGGTATCTCTTTCCTGACAGGCTGGTGCTGTGGGATGCAGGGTCCACCATCGGGGGAATCCACCGATGAATCTTCTCCCCCTGCAGCTGCAGAAGTTCTCCCAGCACTGGGAAAGCCCGCCAGCAGAGAGAACGTGTCCAGGTCAGTGCCAGCTGGATTTCTCTCCGGCTTATTGCGTGAATTGCTGGCCCGGCTGTTTAAAGTTCTCAAACTCCTCTCTCTAGCCGGCTCCTCTTCATGCTGAGACTAAATTTATATTATCAAGACCATCGGGGTCAGTTTTCAGTTGTACCCCTTTTCAAAACTAGTCCCACTCGACAAAATTGGCTTCTGTGTGAAATTCTTGCTTAGGAAAAGCAAATGTAGAGCTGGGGAGATGGGAGGTAAAGGCATGAGCCATAAAAGGCTAACCACGTGACTTTGATACATGAAACTCTAGGTAAAAAGCTACTGTACATAGTGGTGTGCATCTGTAATGGTGGCACCCCCTGCCCCAGACAAGGTTTCTCTGTGTAGTTTTGGTGCCTGTCCTGGATCTCGCTCTGTAGATTGGATGCTGAGACCCCAGAAGCTCCCAGTTAGCCTGGAGTGTGTGGAACAGCCGCAGAGAACAAGGGTGATCCTATTCCAACAAGGTGGAGGGTGAAAACTGATTCCAAGTAGACCTCTAACCTCCATCTGTAACACCCCCCTACTAAATAAGTTTTTTAAAAAGAAATCAAATCTACCTTCCCCAAAGATAGTAAAAATGTAGGCTTTGACTGTCATTCCAAAAGTGCCTGGCTTGATCCCTGGTACAAAACAAAGAAAACAAAGAAGTTAAACATGAAACCAAACCACCTCCATCCTCATCCGTGATCTCCCTCTTCCGCAGGGTGACACATGCTAGCAAACATCCAGGTTATCTCAAAATTTCTTACACTGAAATTTTTATCACCAAGCAAAAGAAGAGTTTACTTCTAATCAAGTCGATACATTTCTCACACATTCTAGAACCGAACCTTTGAGCTTCTGCAACTTGGATAAATCTAGCATTCGCTCAGCTAGGTGCATAGTCCTGCGAGCTCCATGGATGAAAGTGTGGGCAGCGATGTCAGAGTGCTTTGCAGAGGAGTGAGGAAGACAGACAGGGAAAAGAAGGGGGAAACGTGGCCTCTCACAACTGAGACCAAGAGGAGTGCAGTCCTCTTACATAGTGCTGGGATGAAGTCTAAGGATGCCCTGGATTTATCCCGGCCAAGGGCAGAAGGGGTACCGGCTGTTCCAACCAGCTTCTTCAGCCAGCATTGGCTAAGGGCTGTTCCTTGGGCTGAATTAAAGTGTGACAATTCCTCGACATTTGTCCTACTGTACACATGCACCCAGAATAATAGCCTCCAAAGGAAGCTGTCAGCAAAGAGTTCCAGATACTTGCCCTCGGATGCTGTGGATATCACGCTATATAAATAAAACACTGATGGCCAGTTGCCAGGCAGGAAGTAGGTGGGACAAGGAGAGAGGAGAATTCTGGGAAGCGGAAGGCTGAGGGGAGAGACACTGCAGCCACCGCCAGGACGAACATCATGTGAAGACGCTGGTAGGCCACCAGCCACGTGGCAAGGTATAGATTTATAAAAATGGGTTAATTTAAGATATAAGAACAGTTAGCAAGAAGCCTGCCATGGCCATACAGTTTATAAGTGATATAAGCGTCTGAGTGATTATTTTATAAGTGGATTGTGGGACTGCGGGGCTTGGGGAACCTGGAGAGAAGCCCTCTAGCTACACTCGGAAGTCATCTGTACAGCGATAATGAGTACCAAGGGGCTGAAGATGGAGAAGCTCTTGCTTCTGCTGCTCGCAACATCAACAGCGATGATGATGGTGATGATACCAATAGAACTGCCATCTAGTCTAAGAAATAGAAGCTAAGTATGATACCAGGTCTCTTGCATGCATCACGTCATCTAATTCTTTTGTTGAGTACTCAGTCTGTGTCCAGGCCGAGTTCCTGAGGCAGGTCCTCTATAAGGTCTGTGCACATGCTAGATTGATGTTGAGAGTGGTCCACCATGGCATGTGTTTGAAATAGAAAATTGCAATTCCTGTGCTCCTTCACTCTGATGTTGAATTCATGAGTTAAACAGCACCCCTAAAAGTCAAAATAGCCAAGAGGAGAAATGGCACATTCTCCTCCACTCTTGTTCTTTTTTGCTTTGTTTTGTTTGTTTGTTTCATTGAGACAGAGTCTCAAAGTTCAGCACAGACTGGCCTCAAACTCAACTATTTTCCTGCCTGTTTTCATAAGTGCTGGAGTGCTGGGATCTCGAGGCTGGACAATCACACCCAGCTCTTTCTTGGTGAATTGCTACTCATACTTCACATCCAATTCAAATGTCACCACTGTGGAGTTTTTCACACAATAAAAATAGGAGAAAAGTCACAGAACTATCTTAAACAGATAAAAATGAGGCTAAGATTAATGTAGCAGCAAATGTAGACAAGCATGTGCCAGTCTCTGAGGACATCCAAGGCTGCTCCCTCCCCCTCAAAACCAGCATTCTGTGTGGTTGGAAGATGGGCATCGTTTCCATAAAGAATTGCTTTCTACAGGGAATACGCAAAGCCAGGTGATGTTTCTTAAACACAACATTAGAGGCTATCATGAGATTTATTAAAGCATCAGTTTTGTTCAGTCACTAGAATAATTAGGATACTCAAAAATCATAGTAATTAGCTGATGAATGATGTTAAACATCTCAACAATGATCTTATTTCATTATGAAAAAGTTCAAATACAAAGCTTAAGGGATTTACAATCGACATCCATTTACCCACATCTAGATTTTACTATCACATAATTACTATACTTTTCTTACAACACACAAATTTATTATCTATTTCTCTCCATGTTTATCTTTTGAAGCCTTTCAAATAGTTAACTATGGCTATTAGTACAATAAGAGCATCATTAATTGTAGCTCAATTTTTAAATGTTCCATTTTTAAAGTGACATTTGCACACAATGAATGCATAGACAAGTACACTAAGTTCTGAAAAATGCACACACTTGCATAGCCTGAGTTCCATAATAGGAAACATTAGCCAACAAGTTCCATCATCACAGTTAATCTCTTCCCATTCCCTATCAGTTTTTTTAAAAAAAACTTCAGTATAACTCCCTTACTTTACTATAATCACTTCTCCTTACTAAGTGCCCAGATTCTGTAAAATAAGATATGATGTGCTTGAAATTCATCCAACTAGATTAAATTTTGCTTTACACTTATCAATGATGTCTGCTAAGGAAGAATAAGGCTACCTTTATGGTTAACAAATTCTCAGTCTCCCTGTCTTTCCTTCTTTCTCCCCCATTCTCTCCCTTTCTCTCTGTGTCTGTCTGTCTGACACAGAGTTTCACTTTCTAGCTCCCAAGCTGCCCTGGAACTTATGGCAACCCTCTTGTCTGCACCCAAATTCGGGTGTTACAGGAGTGAGCCCCCATACTTGGATGTTAATGACAGTCTTTGCAAGATTACCAAAGGAAACACATCATTCACATATCATACTTTGCTTATAGACTTTTGTTTGTAAAACTAAATTCTAAAAAATAAACTTCATAGACTATCATTTAGCATCTACAGCATGAAGTTACATAATACATAGAGACAATAAAATGATTACTATAGAGAAGTGAGTAAACATATTCATCATCTTCCAATTTGTAGTGTGTGTGTGTGTTTGTGTGTGTGTGTGTGTGTGTGTGTGTGTGTGTGTGTGTGTGTGTGTACATTCAGAAAAACTCCTTGCTACAACACACTACTATTTGGTACTATACTCCTACTGTCTATTAGGTCTCTGGATTTGTTCATCTGTATATCTTCTACTTTGTTTCTTTAGCTACACATTTCCCCATTTCCTCTTCTCACCCTACCTCAAAATATTATTCATTTATTTTCTCTCTCTGTATATGTATTTACATTTATACAAATGATATAAGTCAAAGTCATACAAGAAACCTTATTCAGTCTCATCTCCCATGTCTTGGGGACTCTGATGAGAAAAGGTAATTGTCTATACTCCTCAGCCCATTTCTCTCTAAGGGGGTCTTCCCACCTCTTTCCTCACTAGGCTTTTGCCGTCTAATCTCAGTGCTGGAAATGGAGGATAATAACCCCAAGAACTGCCTTTCACTCGGGTATGGTGGTATGGTGGGTCCTAGGAAAAGGATGCGTTAGCGACAAGAACACTCCTATAGTTGAAACAGAATGGGGAAGGAGGCATGTGTGTAGTTGAAATTCTAAATGGTCTTATTAAATAAGAAACACAGAGCCAAATGCAGAGTTAAAAGCCCAGAGATCAGAGCAGTAGCCAAGAGCTAAGACCACCTTATCTTACTACCCACTGCTGTCCTTCCCCTGAGAGACAGAGAGACCTTCTTTCTGTGTCCTTTTTATTGCCTTTCTGTTCTGCCTTCTCATTGGCTCTATGATTTCCTCGTCACTGCTTGTTTATACAGACATCTAGGCTTCTATGGTTGGTACTGGGATTAAAAGTTCAGGTCACCTTGCTGTGGATGTGTCCTTGACCACAGATACTCTGCCTGCCATGTGATTGGATTAAGGACATGCTAGCACCGCCTTACTCCTGCTTATGGCTCTCTGTGACTTCTGATCTCGAGGCAACTTTATTAACATACAAATAAAATCACATTTCAGCACAAATAAAATATCACCATACATGTGTGTCTTGATGTGGGTTTGGACTAGAAAAACACCAGTGGAGAGAAAGGAGCATAAAGGTAACAATAAAGAGTGAAGACACTTTTAAAGAGAGTGTCTTTGTTGTCTTACACTGTTATCTTCTGGCAGCTTCTTTTCAGTCCCTGCATGTTGAGAACTGCTTGGACATTCCACAGTGACCTTTGGGTTTGTTCCCTGGATACAGCACACTCACCAAGACCCAGGAACTCTGGCTTTTCTCACTACCGTCAGGGTGTAGAGTTGTCTCACCGTTCCAGCCAGAGAGCAGAAAGGTAAACAACGGAGCTGAAGCAGTCTAGCATCACACAGCACTGTAATTCTGGATGGTATCCCTCTGTGGTTAGTGGAATCATTGCCTAAAGAAAGAAACCTATAGACCTCCATTGCACATCCATCTTCAACATCATAGCTTAACATGCTTACCAGTTCTAATGAATGTAACCAATTGCTAATTGAGCTACGAATCATTGCCTTTGTAACCATTCTGAATAGACACTACAATATACATTATGGATGTCTGTATATACAATGTTATGATTGTTCAAGGAACTTACTTTCAATTTTTAAATTGGTTAACAGGTTAATTAATGCACCAATGGGAACAATGATACCACTCAGTCATCAAACACCCAAGTTGGATAAATTCAGAAAGACTCTCTTTGATCTCAGTTACCCAGTCTCTGTCTTTTGAAAGGACAATCGTTCTTCTTTTATTTCAGGAAAAACTGTTGGAAATGAACTCTTATCTTTCATTAATGTTTTTCAAAGAGATTCCTGGCAGAAAATGTTGCAATCAGAGTTCAATTTTAATTATATATCCTCAGCCAGTCTTCTTAACCTCACCATCTCCACCCACTCTCGCCAACACAGAAAACCTTGATTTCTTGTATTTTAGACTTTCCCAGCAAATAAATGAAATGCCCCAGTCCCAGTTCAATCTCAGAATTAGAAGGTCCTGTGAAATGTAGGGTTGATGAAAGCAACCAGACTTCTTGTTGTCAGCAATAGGGTGAGCCCACCGCCAAGCTCAGAAAGTAATCGATGAGCCTCAAGTTAATGGAGCAGTGAGAACCAGTGGGGACTTGACAACAGCAATCTCTGCTCCCAAAGGACTTTTAGTCTATTTGGAGAGTCAGAAAACACTTGGATATGTAAAGAATATTCTGAAAACAGCTTCTCAAGACATGTAAACCCATTTAGCACCAGCCTAGAAATGCCAATGAGCAATCCTAGAACTAGAACAAAGTCAATTAAAAAAATTGCCCAGAGAAGGAGATTTTGGATTGAATTTAACAATAGAAAGTGATAGTAAAAGATGAATAGGAAGGAAAGAGGGAAAGTTAAGTTATTGGAGCAAAAATTTCATTTATAAATAGCAAAAAGCGAGGGTGGTGAGATGTGATGCAAGGGGTCGGCCTTGGAAAATCTTGAGCATATTTCTGGTTATGAAGAATCATGTGGAAAAAAATGCTTCTTTTTGTTGGCTTTGGGTCAACTGACTTGGACTTAACCCTGAATTTTCAATGGCCATGTGACTTCACATAATCCTAACTCTTGCTTCTCTGTCTCTGAGATAGGAGGCATACAAGGGCTGACTTTTTAGAGCAGGCTCTTAATGAGCTGTCCCTCAGCTGAGCAGCATGGCTCCCAGGATCTCAATCTCCGTACCAGACTGACTGAATCAAAAACTCAGAGGGTAGGGACCAATACTCTGCCTTAACACCCCTCAGGTGAATCTAACATTTGTTAAGATTGGAGAACCACTGTTGTAGGGTAGTTGTTAGATACTTACAAGTCAAGGAGGTGTCACCCATATACTAGTGTAGGCTGGGAACAAACCAAGTGTTCCATAATTGACAGGAATTTGGTAATGGAGGTGGTAGTGTGATCTCCTCCACTAAGCATATTAGGGATGTAAATTAGATAATCTGGTGTGACATCCATCACTTCATCATCACCAGGATTCAATCAGCTGATCTGACTGTCTAGGTGGCTGTGGCCTTTCTCCTGCTGCTCCACATATGTCCTTCCCAGAATTGCACTTTTGCGGAAGAGTTTGATCTTCTCCATGGAGTAGGATTGATCTTTAGTCAAGGGTACATGAGTAACTGTGCTCCTCTGCTAGAAGCTCCAAACAAGCCCCTCAAAGTAGATCAGGAAGGTTCCATCCCACTGGGCTACCAAATGGAACACCCTGTTTTCAAAACAGTGGAAACTCTTGGAGGTAGCCTACAAGAAAGCCAAGCAACGCTTCTTTCCTAAGTTGCTGAAACACAAGTCTGGACATAACTCCCCTCTGAGATGGAGTCAGATCAATGGCCTCTGTCAGAAACTTAACATAGGTTCTCAGAATGTATCATTACTGATTCAGAAAACAAGACAAAAAACACTCAGTTTCTTTACCTTTCATTGGTGGTTCAGGTTACCATTCTAGCACTGATACCTTGTGGTTGATTTGGAATGCAAATTTCTTTAGGACTTTGGAAGCCATGATTTGCTTGTTTCCATGATGGTGGATAACAGCTTCGCTCCCCTGCAACACTGGTTGTGCTGGGCAGCATTCCTGCAGTATGCATGAAAAAATTGGGATCGTTTTCTGATTTGTAGAAGACAGATCAAGAACAAAATGCAGGCCAAGTAATGCTGTATAATTTTATGGTCTTTCTGTCAGTTTATTCATAAAGTAGTCTTGAACCACTGCAATGTCCCAGTCCTCATGCTACTGCAAAAGGCTCTTAAGGTATATTATAACCAGATTGTCAAATAACTAATTAAAAATTATAACTATGGTAAGTGATAGGAAGAAGTATGTGGTATTGTATGAACCTGGAGAATGAAATTAGAACCAGTTCTTAAGTTTGGGGAATGTTTCTTTGAGGAAGTAAACTCGATTTGAGATCTCTGGTAGACAGGATTCTAAGGTGGGCCCCTGAGCCTGGCGCTTTGGCTTTGTATCTGTGTGATATCTTCTTTGGGTAGAGCAAGGGCCCATGGCTTATTTCTAGTTAACAGAACAATGGTGAGGTGAACTCACAGCCATGATCCAACTGCATATGCTCAGTAGAACAAATAGCTGGTGAAAGTGATAGAGAGAAACAGATTGAGAAAAATAAGCTAAGGTTGATACAACTTTGGGTGTGTTTAAAGCTAATGGCGTGGGGGGAGGAAATGTCAAAGATAATTCCTCCATTTCTGTCTTTGCTGTTTTTTGGAAATAGAACACTAAAGATGGCCAGACATTATGCAAGATGCAAAGAGTTCTGTTTATGCTTGTTGGGTCTGAGGTGCCCATAGGACATCCAAAAGATATCAAGTACTACTATGCAGCAGTCCAGGACTCAGAGAACTGCTGAGGCAGAGGATGAGCATTTGAGGATTTTACTAGGGGCATGGATTTTGTCTAGGGAGAGAAGTAAAGGGAGAAGACATCTGAGTTTTGTGGGACTCTCCCACATGATGCATGGTAAAGGAAGCAGAGTACAGAGGGCAAAGTTGCAGCCAGAGAAAGAAGGAAATCAGCAGTAACTAGGTGTCTCTCTTGGGTACTGCCAGTCACCTTCCTCATACACATTACTTGGACAGCCTCCTTGACTGGCTGGAAGCAGCTGGACTCTCTCCTTTCCACTAGTTCCCTCAACTCGGTGCTCAGAGCACACAGTAGGCACTGGCCCAATAGTTCCTAAGAGAAAGCAGAGGGAATAGATGTGGAGACCTAGTTCCTTCAAGCACGTAAATAAATAAGCCGAGTACAGGATACTGTCTCATTAGGGAGAAGGCAAATATCCAGCTACGTGACTGAAATAGTTCAAAGGCCATTTCAACAGTTTCTGCTGCTGAAATATGCTTGATCAAATGTTTAATCTCTCAGAGATTTGGAGCACTGATAACGAAACGAGCCATTTTGGCCCCGCATTACAATCAGAAGTTAATTATTGCTCACACCTTTGGTGTTCTTCATTTCAGGTTCTTCAAGAAAGTGAACTCCCAGGGAAAAGGGTCTTGGGGAAGATGGTTAACTTTTTCAAAAATTGCATAATGAATGCACTGCGTTCATTATCTGCCTCTGACCAAAACCCACTAGCTGTCAGATTTTTTATGATTGAGCCTTAAAATTCCTCGATGCCTCATTGGATTTTAGAAAATAATAAATATAACCAGGCAAGCTAACTCATTTCCGACCTCTCAGAAAACAGGTGAAAGGTAACCCACCGAGACCCTGCAAAAAAAAAAAAAAAAAAAAAATCCCTCACATTGCCATTGTGAGCCAAGACCTCCAAGGAACATGTTTGTGTTGGTTTTCCAGCTTCTGTGATAAGTCACCACAATCCACACAGGTTAAATCACTAGACAATGTGTGATTTCACAGTTCCAGGTTACAGTCCAACATAAGATGTGAGCAAGACTGTACTGGATCCAAAGTTAGGGGAAAACCTGTTCTTTGTCTAGATACTAGTAGCTCTAGAGAGTCCTCAGTTCTGGGTTTATAGTGTTCTTCCCCTGCCGCACATCTCTCTCTGTCTCTATCTCTGTCTCTCTGTCTCTCCTATGTCTTCTTGTCTGTCTTTGTCTCTGTCTTTCTCTCTCTCCTATGTCTTCTTCTCTGTCTCCCACAAATGGCAACTGTCACTGGACTTATATCCTACCTGGGAAATCCAGCCTGAGTTCTTCTGGACGTCTGTCCATTAGTTAAATCTACAAAACCTTTATTCAAAGTCGGATGACATCCTGAGGTTCTGGATGGATATACCTCCTGGCCAACATCCAGCCATTCAAAACCTCATAACTGCTCATATGGTAAGCAAGCCCAGTTACTTTTATGTAAGAGATGGGTAAAAAAAAAAAAATCTGATTTACCAGAATGTATTAAACAGATGTCTAAAACAATGAGGACCTCGACTCTAAACTAATCTCCCCAAATAACCTAATCTGCTACTAAATAAGAACCCATCTGTTTGGGGAAATCTAGTCCATGCTATCATTAATGTTTAAATGAGATATAAAGTCTAGTCAAGACTAACTCAGCTTATAAATTCATCAGCCTGTACAACCAATTCTGCCTAGTGTTCCAGAATGCTGTATTGGGAGAATTACATACGATCAGAGAAAGGCTTCTGGTGGCCTGGAGGAGGATAAGTGTGCCTGTGATGACAAAGAAAATAAGTCACCAACCTGCCTGCTATTAAACATGTGCCAGGAGGCAATGTTCACCTTTTTCTGTGGAGCCAAAAGATGGTACCATGATGTATCATGATATTCAGCTGTGGTATCTCAAAAGAACCAATTGGCTTGAATATGCTCTTCTGTGATTCATGTTTCTAAGAACATCAAAGACCCTTGAGGAGGAAGGAACATAGCTCAGAGATTCTAATAAAATCATAAAGATGGGAGCATATAGGTCACTGCTGAACAATGGCTATGGTGTTATAGTCTGGGAAAGTGAAGACTGAAACCCTCTTAGGCCAATGAGAACGGCATTGCCTGGAAACTCAAGACAAGGCAGTTGGCTCATATCGATTGTATCAGCAAGCATTTAGCTCATGTCTAAAAAACGTGGGATCAGTTACTCTGAGTCGAGGGGGGGGGGAGTTTAGTTTAACTGAAAGCAGAGTGTAAGTCCTCACACTTGGGTTGAAGACGGCACCTTTGATTCTGTATCCATTGGAATTGGTTGTGCCAGCCCCTACTGGGAAGACTGAATAAGGTCTCCAAGTACTGGCACCTTTGTGAAAGAATGTGAAATGCAAGAGCATATTACCTATACTCTTTTCCCTGCTTGAACAAAAGAGGATAAAGGCAAGGCTGCACCCCACCATAGCCATGCTGAATTTTCTAAAGTTGCAGCACACACACGGCACTCCTCAGTCTAGAAAAGATAGTGCCCTCCACCCTACAAGTGAAGTCAAAGCTTTCTTGATGAAAACCAGGGGTGTTATGTTATTATTATACGTAAATCTGTAAGACTATCCAGAAAGCACATGATGCTACGTTACATTTGACACGTTTCACCTGACCTTTTGAAACGTCACATCAATTCTGAAGGAACAAAACGAAAATGTTGGTGTCCCTTGTGTTAACTCAGCCACTGCATGATAGTGGGTGAACACTTACTATGTACTAGGGTAGACACTGAGGTCACGGGGTGAGCAAAGCCATGCCGTGTCCTCCATATGCTCTCTAGTCTAACAGAAGAGGCAGATGTCCCCACAGAGGTGGGAATTTTTCAGGACAGCCTTGGGGGCCAGAGGTGCTAGCTCTCAACTCCTCCTCTGAGGCCCCCCTTCTCAACTCACCCATCACCACCGCTCTCTGCCATGGCAGGTGCAGGCAAAAGCCTCGGGCAATGGCTGGAGGAGAGGATGGGAAACATAATTTTCCTCAAACCCCTATTCATATCTGCTTGTTAATTACGGAAGCAGGCCTCTTTCGATGTATAAAAGTCCATTCTGTCACTGGATATTAGGGGAGGGGGGGTCGTGCATGCGCTTCTGCATAGGTCGGTGCCTCATCCTGTTCCTGGAGATGTGGACAACTCATGTCAGAGCAAAACAAACTTCTCATAGTCCCAGGAGCCCAACAAGCCAGCGAAAGAAGTAAAGAGACGCCAATGTTGGATGAAAGCAAAGAGCCCCTGAGGCCCCCGAGGATGGGAGAAAGCCGCAGTGAAGACAATAACACTTCCTGTTAACTGGACACTCACCATGGGCCAGGCAGTGTGTTAAAAGCTTCCCACAGGCGGTCTCGTGTAAGCTTCACAGCATAGTTCAGAACTCGCTGTTAGAACGAGATAAAGTGCTATTATACAGATGAAGTGTTGAGGCTGCGGAGATTAAATAACACATCTATGATTACCCAGCCAAAAGGTGGCCAACTATACCTTATGCCTCTAGACCACGGTAAGCGCACAAATTACAGGTGAGCTGTGGCCAAGAGATGTAGCAGTGTGGCAGAGGTAGCCAGAACTTCAGATGCCTTCTCTCTCTCCCAACTTACTTTTCTCAGGGCTTTTTAACACCTTCACTGCTACGTTTCTCATATTCTGTAGAGGAGCCATATAGTTATCAACATCTTTAGGTGACTGCCAGCCCACAGCACACACTCACCGATATTGTGCTGAATGAATGAATGAATGATGGATGGATAGATGGATGATTACATGAGTCCAATGACAGGAGCTGTTGCTTGCACAGTGAAGACACTTGTCACTGGATGGTCTTGTCATTCATCCTACAGTGGAGGAGCAGATGGGGGAAGCGTAACTCATTTTTCCTCCCCTGTCTGAGTTCCCAGTGAGTTCCCTTCCTCCAGACATATTCTAGAATGTGTGGGACCACTTCGGGGAAATAAAAGAGGGAGAACTCGGGAGGAATGAACTCAGTTTGGGAGCCTCGTACAAATTGCCATCCTGCAGTGAATTTCCTGGAATGTAATGACTCTTGCCTTGATGCGTGTGCACGGAGCCGCCAGCTCCCCGAAGCACTTTCAGAGCTCAAGGCGATGCCAGGCTCTGTGTTTGCATGCCTGCACTGTTCTCCCGAGGCAGAGGGAAAAGTCCTTTTTGATTCCCACTTCATCCATATGGAAAAAAAAAAAGATACATACTAGAGGAGTCCTTAGTGGTGACGACACTGTCACTGATCATAATAGAAATATTTAAAAGACACATTTCTTCCCGTTTCTGTGGCCTTTCATCTGGCAACCCAGAGGAGGGAGTAAAACTGATAAGCAGCTTTTCTTCTCAGTCAAATAAAATATCAGAGAATGGCCGTGCTTATGTTATCTAAAAATAAAAGGGCATGGCTTTTGCAAAGTGTAGGTCTACCCAAGCTATCACTGTTGATCTCCTCCGAAGCTCATTTAGCTGTTTTCTCTCCCTTGAACAAAGATCTCATAGAACTCTCTTGTTTTTCATTTGTATTTTGGATAAAAGCTCCTGGCAGCAACTCCCCTGCATTCTTCAGGGAGGGAGGTGGACTGCACCAAGGAACCTTTTCCTGGTCCAGTTACCAGCTCTCTGCCATGCAAGCAAGAAAGTCTTTAGGATGAACAAGTATTCGGGGCAGATTCAAGCCCTGTTCGTAATGGTGATTTCCAAAGAAGCCGTGGTATCCTTTCAAGAACTTAGATCTCCTTTGTGTGCTCTGGAGAACACAAACTTCTCCCTTTCCCTCATCTCCATCCTCCCCCTCATGGCTCAGAATGGGCGTCATCCAAAGGCAAGAGGACATGTCTCACAAGGAGGGCTGTCTTCAACCTTGCAAAGTCAGCTTCCTGTGGCTTCGCTTTGGCCGCTTCCCACACCCCACTTCCTAGGGCCAGGCACCCCCATGAAGGAGCAAAGAGCCAGGAAAAGATAGCCAGCATGACTTCTTTGAAGTCAAAGAAGGCTATGTTATCCATAGGGTCTCTCTGCTCAGTCTCTGGAACTCAGAGTTAGACATTCTTGTCAGGATTTCTTGTGTGTGTGTGCATGTGCATGTGCGCATGTGCGTGCATACATGCATGAATGCGTGTGTGTGTTTTAAAAGCTAAAATAGTTTTAAAATTTACTCATTTATTGTGCGTGTATGCATGTGTGTATGTGTGCGCGCGCGTGCGTGCGCGCACATACACCACAGTATATATGTAGAGAGCTGACTCGCTAGTGGGATGTTGTTCTCTGCTTCCACAAATGAGTCCAAAAATATGACTCAAGTGGCCAAGTGGGCAGCAGATGCCTTTACATGCTGAACCCTCTGGCTCACCTTCCTCAGGATTTCTTGGTAATGTTTTCTTCACTGACCATTTCATGGCTTCCCCCAACCCCCCGTCTTTTAGTTTGTCCTGATGAGTTTGTTTTATTTACCTCCATCTTGTACAACTTGGCACAGACTTGTTTTGAGAAGCTGAGGAGCTGTGGGCGGATAGCTCCACATTTGAAAAGTGGCTATCACCATCCTTTATCATGCTGTTCATCACCTAAGGAAAGTTAATCCAGGAAAAACAGTTTAGACCAGTGGCTCTCAACCTTCCTAATGCTGAGACCTTTAATACAGTTCCTCATGCTGTGGAGACCCTCCCCCTCCCAATCATAAAAGTATTTTGTTGCTACTTCAAAACTGTAATTTTGCTGCTGTTGTAAATCGTCATGTAAATATCTGATATGCAGGATCTCTGATATTCGACCCCCAAAGGGGTCACAACCCAGACAATGACAACCGATGCCTTAGAGTCACTGTCCTGATAAGAGATTTCTAGCCTAAAGCCTTTGGTCTTAGACCAAGAGCAAAACAAAGAAAACCATCCACTCATCCATAGAGAAGTCTCACCATCAACAAACCTTTCCAGTGGGGCCCAAGTCACCTCGCTCTGTTGCCTCTTCTTCCTGGCACCCATCTGCATTTCTTAAATAACAACATAAAGTAAAAAAGCATCCCATTTTATAAACCGAGTCACAGGAAGTAACAACTACCTAGAATAAGAGAATAAGCTGTGACAGAGTCAGTAATAAGTGATGACAGCTGAGGGGTGGGGTAGGACCAGCTCACAGCCTGCAGATGGGAGGCTCACAGCTCTATCTGAACACAGAAGGTCATAACTGGGCAATGGACAGGGTTGGGTCTCATTTCTTCTCAGCTCCAGTGAGGATGAGATGATTGTACGCCATTCCTTCATGCTCTTCTCCTTCTTTTTTTTTTTTTTTTGAAAGGAGGTCATCAGTTCCATTCACAAATTAATAAAACAATTTTAACTAAAAATTTCTGTCAAAGGGACAGAAAGAAAAATTTGCCTTTGAAAGGCCTGTTACTAAAACCAGATAATGTGAAACGTCCACCAATTAATGAAACACAACATATAAAGAAGTGAGAAAAGGAGCCTGTTGCCAAGCCTAAGGTCCCATGTTTAATGCCTGGGGCCACGTGGAGGAAGGGGAGATACCCGCCTGCTGTGGGATGTGCACACCCACACACTTACAGATGCACACACATTCATGTACACTAAGTGGATACAATGTAAGGCACAAGTAAGAGAAAAAGAAGACAACGGGAGGCAGAAGTCAGTGAAACCTACTCACACGGCTCAGCTACCTCCATCTGTAGTCAAGAAGTTACCAACAGAAACGCCACTTAAAAGAAGCAGACATGTCCATCATCCCGAAGCCCTCAAAAGTGAGGAGAGAATTCTGAAGGGGGTAAACTGAGGCAGCCACGGAGGTGAGGTGGGAAGTGATAAAAAATGCACTCATGTTATCTGGGCACCAAACAATCCATCACGACCCTGTCCGATTAACTTTCTCCAGACATTAGAATTACCCTGGGTAAGATGGTAATGCCTGCTTTTGTCTGCAGAAATCAATAGACCCCGGGGAACGTGCCGAGGGATGTGAATCCCATATATTTCTGACATGAAGCTGGATTTTAAGAGCAGGTCAGCCACTAACCTGCTGCCTTTTCCTTTTATTTGTGCCTATATATTTGAAAAGGGGGGGGAGGGGCGCATACCCCAAGTTTACTTTTTTAAAACTAAATAACGTTGCCTTGTGGCACTCATATTGTATCTATTACACATTTCACTTCAAAACCTCATCTCCCCTAAACCCTCTTCAATGCGCTTGAAGTAGCACCGCCAAAGGAAAGGAATTTTCTATTTAACTAGAGCGCTGACATTCTGTTACACAATTCGATCTTATCTATTTACCTGCTCTCAAAAACACAAGACACTAAACACGGAATGCTGAATGCGTGGAGTCTGCGGTGCCATAGGTGTCTCAATGCATCCGTAGCCTCCCTCTCACTCATCAGTGTAATTGTTGCCATGTTATTTCATTTTTTGATTAGTCTAGTCCCTCAAGCTCGGTGCTTTTTTTCTGGCCCCACGTTCTCCTGCTGGTTGTCATGGTGACTGGATTGTTAGCGAGGAGAAAGGCTCTGTTGTCTGTCATTGTTCTGTTGTGGTTTAGGTAACGCAGGAGGCAACACAAGTGAAGTGGATGGACCTTTTTTTTTTTTACTCCGCATCATTTCATAGTATTGAAAAAAAAAAATCTCACATAAAAAAGGAGCAAATAGGCCCAGCCAAAGAAATAACCAAGCTGTTTCTAAAGGGAAGTGCACATTATTATAAAGAGGCAAAATGGCATTAATGATGAACTCAGTAGCCTATGAAAAATGCTGCTGGATATTACATTTATTACTAGAACAATCACCGTGACTTAAATATTACATACAATACCCACCATTTTGCAATTTAGAGCAAGTATGGTTTTTAACCAGACAATTGTCACATAGGCTTTTGGGCTCGGGAGGCTGCACTACTTTAACCTTACGTTGTGTTCAATCTGAAACATACCATGTTAGACATCAAGACTGAACCAAAATTAGGTGCTGGGTGAATTGTCCTTGGGTGGTTACATAGTCTTATGGTCAAATTCTACTTTGGGAAAGTAGAGATTTTTTCTTTTCAAATTTGAGAGCTAACTACAAAGGATTTCTATTCAAATGATAAAAAAGTCTTTTTTTGAAGGTAAGTAATATAAGTACATCCCATCTCTATTTACCTGATTTTTAGAATTAGGAAATGGAAGTATGTAACATCCATAGATGATGAGTGCATACCTTAGGATAATTAATAATGGCTCCTGTAAACACTGCACTAAATCATATTCCCATCACAGCTTCATTAGACACACACCCTTCCTAATCAGTAATGACTTGCATTAGTAATAGTATAATTTTTCACTATAAACATTTTTTCCTAAAATTTAGAATGATATATTTTTATTTAGCTATTTCATTTAATTAACTAAATGCTGCAAAGTTTTAAGTAGATACCATTTAGTAAAAATATTATTTGAAAATGAAAAGGATAAAAAGGTTTCCTGTGAAAGTATTTCTTCCCATGTCTGAAACCTGTCCATCTAGCTTTCTCTTACTTCTCCGTGTACAGCTATTGCTCTAGGGATTTTTGTTTGTTTGTTGTTTTTGTAGTTTTCCAGAGTTTCCTTATGCAAGATTTGAAAATGCTAAAGAGACTCTTACTTTACTTTTTGCATGCACTTGGCATCATACCATTCACATAGCAGCGTGCTTCTCCATAACATCGTATTTGATTGCTCTTTTGTCCCAGAATACACTGCTCTTTTGGCTTTCATTTCTTTTTACAACAGCATAGTATTCCACTGTCTGGGTGCACTGTAATTTATTTAGTTAATCCCTCTTGATGGACATTTGAGCTGTTCTCCATATTTTCCTTTTTAAATAAACACGTGTAATTTTTGTGTTTTATATATGCAAAAATATGTGAAAGATAAAATCCCGGAACTGAAATTTCTAGGTTAAAGAGTATATTTGCATTTGTAATTTTGATGAAAATTGTTAAATTCCCTTCTGTGGAGATTCATTCCAATTCACACTCCCATCAACGGTGGAGAAAATACCTGTTTTCTCATTCCTTGCCAACAAAGGATAAATTAAACCCTTGAAATTTTGCTGATCTGACGGCAAGAACGATATTGTGTCATCATTTTAAGTTCTTTTGTTAGTGATGTCAAACATCACTTTCTGTCCTATAGAATCAATTTTTTATGTTAATCATTTTTATAGATATTTTGTTCTTATTTCTTGAGGGGTGTAATTTTTATATTTTAGAAATTATACATTTGATTGTGTTATGTTTCCCCAATTTGTCATCTGTCTTTTGAGTATCTTGAGTTCCTTCTAGGCTAAAGTCTGACTTTAATATAGTCAAAGCAGTGTTTTATGTTTTGTGGCTTTTGTCTCCCCTTTTTACACCAAAAACACAGAGGATATTCCCATGCATTTTTCTATTTGATGGTTTCTTTAAAGTTGTACTATTAGCACTTGAGCTTTTCCCCAAAGAAGATAGGAGAAATGGACTCAATTTTAGGTTTCCCTAGATAGTTACCGACTCATCCCATTATTCCAACTATGACATAACTATTTTTTTCTGCTACTGATTTGTGATCTTCCTTCTGTCAGATGTTGACGGCCACATGGTTTCGCTTTAGTCCTGTTCTTCCTGTGAGTTAGAGCTGCCGAGAGTCATAGCCCCCTTTAGCGCAGTGTGGTCAGAGAAGTTCCGAAACCGCACTTCATGTATAAATATATTTTGGTCATTTCTGGATTCTAGACCGCAAGTCCCCTCTGTGAACATACATTCCCTCCCTGATTCCCTAAGGAAGTATGTCTGTCTACTGTGTTCAACTACACATTGAGTGTCACCCAGCTTCTGAGAAAATACGGCTGAGAGATCACCGATTTTTCTATTAAAACTATAGACTGATAGGCCTGGCTGAAAGCATTTGCACTCTCTACAGATGCTTTTCAGGGACCAGAGTTGCAGGGCGTTTGCAATTCACAGCCAGTACTCCTTCAGCCCCTCGAGGTGGTTTCCAGAGAGGCACATGCTGCTCTTGGATTGTTAGGGTGCTCTACAATGACTTTAAAGTCTGTCCATTAAAGAGCATTTGAAAGGCACTTACTATTTAGTACCCGGTAAACATATATTTTGATTTTCTCTCACACTGTTTAATGGCATAATATTCAGCAAGGATCTGTGGAAAGCAGCTAGCAATCACAACAGACACACTTCAAAGAGCAATGCCAGCACTCCCCGGATCATGCTCCCTTCCTCCTTCGGCAGCAGAGGGGCTGCGGCCAATTTCATCATCATACAAAACATTCCCAAGCTTGTTGTCTGTTGTTGGCTTAATGTAGTACCTTCACCCAGATTGGCGTTGATTCCCAGTCACAGACTATAATGTTCCTTGGCTGTGATCTTGAGGACTCAAGATCAGCTTCTTGCCTCCAGCTCCTTTCTTCTTCTTAACACCGCGGGTGGGGGAGAGCAGTGTCCTCCAGACAAAAGATACCTTTTGGAACAGAATCCGCCCAGTGATCAGAAGCGGCGAGTGGGAGAAGGCAGGTGGTGACCCCCTCACGGACATGAGCAAGAGGCTGCTTGGAGAAGTCTTCCCTTTTGCTTAGAGAGTGTCCAAAGCACTCATGGCAGGAAGTGTTTGGCTACAGATCACTTCTCCAAGGCCCATTACAGGAGGTGAGCAAACGGAGAGCTCGCCCCTTCCCTCCCAATTAGCTCAGATTGCAGTCGACCTTCAGAGGTATCTCTTGCACGGGTGTTTTTCTTGTGATGATGCTGTGAAAATAATTTTCTTTTTTGAAGAGCTTTCTCGCTATTCTCTCCCCATGGCAACTTTTGAAAATTTGTTAAGACGCACACACGCACACAAACCTCTCAGGCTATCCACAAGCTCTCTAGGTGAGTGGGGACAAATGGCAGCCTATCAAAGAAGTGGACCCAGGACAATCACACGGTTGTGATCATTTGGGGATTCTACACACACACTCAGCTGCAGGCCCTACTGCATCGGCTTTTTCTTTTTCTTTTTTTTTTCTCTCTTTCTTTTCCCTGTACACAGTGAGACAAGGCAGGCTTAGGCCAAGAGGAGAGTGGGTGTCTGCTTAATTAAGTAAAAAAGCCTAAGAAGCAATTTGATCCACATCCTTTAAAATTGATGAGGGAGAGTCCATGGTGCCAGCCTATGCACAGGAGGGGTAGCAAATGGGTTCAGACACTGGTGTCTTCCGGGAACTTTGTCCTATGATGCAAACGAATGGCTGGGACTAGAGATCTAATAGAAAAGTGTGCTTATAGAAAGTGAAAGGAGTCTGCAGAGCAGGCATGCCAAGGGTCTGAGGAAACCCTAGGCTCTCCTGAATTGATGGAATGCTCTAGGATGAGGCACAATACCCAAGTCACAGCCAGACTCAGTATGTTAACTGATGCCTCCCCAAATAAAGGCATATCTAATTGGCACCAGGGAAGACATCACTCTTGCCTCAGAATTTGGTAAGCACTGGGCTCATTTCAAACACCTCGACTTTTCATGGATGTTACTTTGCTGTGGGCCCTTACCTAAAAGCACCTTGAGTTAAGTCTACACAGAGAAAGCAAGAGCCACCGTGCACTGCCGTGTAGTATCACTCTTGGAGAGATAAAGATGCCTGTTTCTGCCTTATCTTTTTGGTCTTGACATGAGACTGTCAAGCCGAGAATTACGCTCAAGTTAGGATTTAATGGCAATGCCAGGAACTGGAAACAGCACCTGAGGACCAGAATTTAAATCCCATGGATGGTGTCTCTTGATGCTTTCATGGAGCATGGATGAGGAGGTAATTTAAAAATAAGCCCTGCATCCTATTTAAAAAGATAAGAATGAGCTCAGATGTGTGTAAATGTTTGGACTAAATATGACCAAGGGCTGTGTCGTATGTAAATGGCTTGGCACTTTGAAAATGATGGAATCGGGCTTCGTAATGATGCAAGTATCTATCTAATGGAACTAAATTTGCAAGATATAGGTGCACAGTGGAAAAGAAGGCAGACAAGCGGCGCTGAGGACCTAAGTGAAATGGCACCGAAGAATGAAACACATTGAGTTTAATGACTGACCTGGTCAGGAGCCTTACCGCTCCGACAATGGGGATGGGAATTATCCTATTATTACAAGCAGGTGGATCATCTTATTAACGTATCCCAGCCTTTCACATTTGTATTTAACTCTAAATCGAACGGAACAGTCTCAGACGCACTCTCCTGTCCCCTAAAGGAAATAGAAGCTAATGCCCAGACATTTTTCTCTGTAGCTTCATGCATTTTTTTCCCCTTTCAGAGACAGGCGTTCAGTCCTGTCAAACTATAATGCTTTGGCTTTCATTTGGATATAGCTAAGGTGTCTTGGAAGTTTCCCTGCAAATTCCTTTAAATCCAGAGGGGCTGAAGGAGATTCTAAGAAGCAGTGCCCCTCTTAATGACTCCACACGACAGCATCCTTGGAATTCTGATTTGG